AGTTATTTATATTTTAATATTATATTATGCATTTATATTATTTTATAAACACATCTAAATGAACATATTTACTTTTTTTTTTTTTGCTGAGATTTGATGCAGTGACACAAGTTTGCAACGTGATTACGCAATGACGTCACCGCGCAATGACATCGCGTCATTTAGCAACTTTTAGCAACAAATCAACCTTCCTTTAGCAACTTCCCCTGAAAATTAGTTGGCAACACTGCCCACAACTCAGTTCTTCATACAGCTTGTATATATATTTGAAACAAAATTTTAGAAGGTAATTCTTACCTCCTCCTCCACATAGGTAAACAGCAGGTCAACGTGTCACTCTATCTGTGTCAGTTGTAATCTACTGCTCTTTATCTCTCTTCCCCATTCTGCCTGAGGGACAACAGGTACTGACACAAAAAGGAAATTTACCAAACAGTGTAACACTGACCTTTGCAATAAAATAACAAACAAGAGCTAGGACAGACCGATTAAAAAAAATCCGCATTACCAGCAATTTTATATGAAATTATTAGTACTGTATTCGTGCTGTTTACACTGCTAGTCAGTTTAAAGAGGATAGAAATATAAGCTATTTAGTCAGTTGCAAAGGTTTGTGCGAGAGTCGTCGTGATGGACTGTGTTTCCCCCTACTGGGGTCAAATGGTAAAGCACAGCATGCCACTTCTAAACGTTCACAAACAAATGACATGTGACAAATGAACCCTAACCAAATAAATGAACAAACAAACAAAAAAACCTTTCCTAGATCACATCTGTATTAACTGTAGCAATCACCCCTCGGTATCAGTCTTATCGATTGTAAATACACATAGGCTAAACGATATTGGCGTACTTAAACTTTTATAGAATTACGATATGTATTAATACACACACACACACTAATATACATATATACAGAAACATAAACGAACTGTAATATTCCGGGGCTAACCCGCCGAATAAACGTTAATTATGAAGTTACTAGTTTTTAAATGTATATAAAATATGAAGTTACTTTAATTATGGACTTACTGGTTTTTAAATGTATATACATTTGACTAGTAACTTCATAATTAATGCTTATTCGGCGGGGTCGCCCCGGAATACCTTACCGTTCATTCATGTTTCTGTCGGACTTATTTACAGACGCACCAAAACGTGTGCGTTCACAAACTGTCGCCGACTGCAACGATTCTAAAAAGCTTTTGAAAACTACCAGTTTGCCGTGTTTAACATGTTGCCAGTGGTAAATGGAAACGATGCGAGTTTGTTTTAGATGTATTTTGCATTATCGTGTCGTGACTGAGATTCGACCCATCCGTGCAAGCGTTACGATGAATTTAATGTCCAGTCTGATCTCAACGTGACTTTGAGCAAGCACAGCAGTCATGTGTCATACTGTACAACTGAAGCTGTAACCCTTGAATCAAACATTCCATCTTAAAATGCATTTAAATGTACCGTTCCCCATCCTCCGAGGGGTAAGTTTGTGCTGTTGATTGTCCGTCTTTAATGCATCAGATCTATAGGCATTTGTCATTGACTGTAATTTACCAATGGTATAATAATAATAATAATAATTTAACAATACTTTCCGCCAAAATGCCATGGTTACTACAGTAAATCCTTGTTTAAAGCTACCACTGTTTTAAAAAGATGGTGAATCTATTTAAATAACATCTCATACACGTAGATTAGTGTTTTACAGCATTAACTGCATCATTCATTCCCTTTCAGAGCATCAGACACTTGATGACCAGATCCTCACAGACGTGCAGAGGCAGAGTGACTTGGAGGAGAAATTACAGTTTTTATCGAGGTGAAGGACAATAGTGGATAGTTACAGAGTTCTGCATATTTTGTAATTTTAGACTAGTGTCTTACTGTTCACAACTTTTTTTTCCTTCAGATGAGGTGAAATCACTTAGAGCAGTGGTCAACCCTGACATCTCAAAGTAAGATATGACAGTGCATGTGAGCATATTTTTTATAATATTCTTTTGAGCGTGTAAGAATAATGGCCTATTAATACCAAATGTTTCTATTATGTTCTTGGTCAGAATTCGTAACATAGGTATCATGGCGCATATAGATGCAGGGAAGACCACCACGACAGAGAGAATGCTGTACTTCTCTGGCTACACACGGGCTCTCGGGGGTGAGGTGACATTTAGAAAGAAAGTTGACGAAGAATATCTGATTATCATTAATTGAAAAAAAGCTGAATAATATGAAATAATTATGATGACATTAATTATATAAGTATTCAATAATAATGTAATATTATGCAATTAATTAATCTAATAGTAAATAAATATTAAATGGAAAAACTTACATTTAAAAACAGTAAACTGAAATGAACTCATTTTAAATTGAAGTACTAAAATCAATCTGAAATAAAAAAAAGTAATGCTAAATAGAAATATTTAACAAATATAATGAAAATGACACATTTACTAAAATTTGAATTCAAATGAAAACTGAAAATATATTTTTAAAAAAAGGCTTGTTCAAAATATTAATAAATACTATCATGGTATATAAATAATACTAAAATAGCATGTTTAAGTTGTTTAATGCACATCCTTTAATAAATATGTGTATTTGTTTTATATGATGTAAATGTCTTTGTGATTGGTCTTGTTTAGATGTGGATGACGGTGACACTGTAACTGATTACATGGCTCAGGAGAGGGAGAGAGGAATCACCATCCAGTCAGCTGCTGTTACCTTTGACTGGAAGGATCACAGGATTAACCTCATAGACACGCCAGGTACACGTGTGTCCACACAGTGTTGTATTCAATGCAGGGCAAGGGACACGCAGTGCAAAAGTTTGGAGTTGGTACAATAAATACTGTATGTGTGTGTGTATATATATATATACACTGCCATTAAAAAGTTTGGGATCAGTAAGATTTTGAATGTTTTTAAAGAAGTCTCTTCTGCTCATCAAGGCTGCATTTATTTGATCAAAAATACAGAAAAAAAAAACAGTAATTTTGTGAAATATTTTTACAATTTAAAATAACTGTTTTCTATGTGAATGTACTTTTAAATCTAATTTATTCCTGTGATAAAAGCTGAATTTTCAGTATCATTACTCCAGTCTTCAGTGTCACACATGATCCTTAAGAAATCATTCTAACATGCTAATTCATAATCAGTGATTGAAACAGTTGTGCTGCTTAATATTTTTTTGGAACCTGTGATGCTTTTGTCAGTTTTATTTTATGAATAAAAAGTTTAAAAGAACAGCATTTATTTAAAATATAAATCTTTTGTAACAATAGAAGTCTTTACTATCACTTTGTGTCAATTTAGCACATCTTTGCCGAATAAAAATATTAATTTCTTTTAAATAAAAGAAAGAAAAAAATGTACTGACCCCAAACTTTTGAACAGTAGTGTATATTGTTATAAAATATTTATTTTAAATAAATGCTGTTCTTTTTAACTTTTTATTCATCAAAAAACCTGACAAAAGTATCACAGGTTCCAAAAAAATATTAAGCAGCTGTTTCAATCACTGATTATGAATTAGCATGTTCGAATGATTTCTGAAGGATCATGTGTGACACTGAAGACTGGAGTAATGATACTGAAAATTCAGCTTTGCATCACAGGAATAAATTAAAATCCCATGTGTGTGTTTCCTAAACAAGATGGACAAGCCTGCAGCTAGGTTTTACATATAAAAATGTTTTGCCCATTTCTCAGAATTTCACGTTTAAATTCAGAGAATCCATTAACACATTGTCTGAAAAGTTGCATGTTTTATTGATCTAAATGAATGACTGCAGTTCCCTCTCATTTCTTCTAGCCTGAGTTACTCTATAGACAGCATAAAGACTAAACTAAAGGCCAACCCTATTCTCCTTCAGGTAACCTTTTTAAACATAGTAACCAACTACTATTACCAATGAAAAGATTCGTTCTGGATATTTGGTATTATTTCCAGATCCCCATTGGCTCAGGGAAGAGCTTCACCGGATTGGTGGACTTGATCACTAGGCAGAAAATTACATGGCAGGGGAGCTCACTGGCATATGATGGTCGTGCTTTTGAGACCAGCGCCCTTCAGCCCTCAGATGACCCAGATGTGCTTCAGGCTGTCAGTGAGGCCAGGGCCACTTTGATAGAACAGGTGAAACAACAACAAAAAAATGTAAACAATAGAATAAATACTGATACATTTATTGTTATTAGCCACATCTTGACTACAGTAGGTTCACCAAAAAGAGGTTTAGAATGATATGGCTAATGATCTTTTTTTTTGTGTGAACTGGACAGGTAGCAGATCTAGATGATGATTTTGCGGAGCTGCTGCTGGGACAGTACAGTGAAAACTTTGATGCAGTGCCTGCTGGGAAGGTAAGAATATACAGTTTCTCTATACATGTGCTCCATGTTTCTTTCTCCATTGGTTCTGATACATTTGGCTATTAAATAAACAGAATTGAAATCGAATATCCAGTTGCAGGAGGCACTGAGAAAAGTGACATTAGCTCGTAAGGGGGTGCCTGTGTTGTGTGGAACCTCTCTGAAAAATAAAGGGGTTCAACCTCTGATGGATGCCATTACTGCTTACCTTCCTGCCCCCAATGAGAGGAACCATGACCTGGTGTGAGGGCACCATCCGTCAGCGCCCTCATCAACTCATTTTGCTAAAGGAGAATAAATCATGCTATGATTAAATGTATATTTGTTCCTATCTGTCCAGGCGCTGGTATAAGGATGATCTGTGTGCGTTGGCATTCAAAGTGGTCCATGACAAACAGAGGGGTCCACTCGTGTTTGTTAGGATCTATTCAGGAAGCATGAAGGCTCAGTCAGCAGTGTATAACATCAACAGGAACGGAACGTAGGTTTATTCTTTTTGATTGATTTCAGGTATGCAGTTATAATGACAATGCCAGATTTTCTTTGTTCCTCTTAAAAAAAGAAATGACTTGTGAATTTTTGTTACTTCTGCAGCTTTTTTACTTTTGCTCTTTCATTTGTTGTGGAAAACACAACACACACACACACACACACACACACTCAAAAAGAAAGGCTATTACTATGGTGTAGGGGTGTCACGATATACCGGTATTGACGATAATCGTGATAGAACAATGTTTTGTGTTTTTGTTGCTCCAGGGAAAGAATGAGTCGACTTCTCTTGCCTTTTGCCGATCAGCACATAGAAATTCCTTCTTTATCTGCGGGAAACATTGCACTCACGGTTGGACTCAAACAGGTAAACTCAAATTTCATGGGACAAAGAAAACTATGTGTTGTTTACATGATCGTTTGAACTGCTTTGAGAGGAAAAGTGACTTGTAGTATTCGATTGGCCTTGTGATTTAAAACAGAAATAGCAGCTACAGTTAATGGTACCACTCTTATGTAGACTGAAGATGCTTTTTTTTAAGATATATTTTTGGCATTTTTTTTCCTGTATTACAATAGGACAGTTTAGATCTGAGGAAGCAAAGTCGGAGAAGGGGGGGCGAAATAGAGAAAGGTCTGTGAGCCTTCGAACTCGGGACGCCCATGAGGCTATCAGCGCCGTCATAAAGTGATCTGTGTGCGTTGGCATTCAAAGTGGTCCATGACAAACAGAGGGGTCCACTCGTGTTTGTTAGGATCTATTCAGGAAGCATGAAGGCTTAGTCAGCAGTGCATAACATCAACAGGAACGGAACGTAGGTTTATTCTTTTTGATTTCAGCCTTGTATGCAGTTATAATGACAATGCCAGATTTTCTTTGTTCCTCTTAAAAAAAGAAATGACTTGTGAATTTTTGTTACTTCTGCAGCTTTTTTACTTTTGCTCTTTCATTTGTTGTGGAAAACACAACACACACACACACACACACACACACAGGTTCTTAAAGGGACAGTTCACCAAAAAGAGGTTTAGAATGATATGGCTAATGATCTTTTTTTGTGTGTGAACTGGACAGGTAGCAGATCTAGATGATGATTTTGCGGAGCTGCTGCTGGGACAGTACAGTGAAAACTTTGATGCAGTGCCTGCTGGGAAGGTAAGAATATACAGTTTCTCTATACATGTGCTCCATGTTTCTTTCTCCATTGGTTCTGATACATTTGGCTATTAAATAAACAGAATTGAAATCGAACGCCCATGAGGCTATCAGCGCCGTCATAAAGATGCTTTTTCTTGCCAGCTTATAGGTCTGGAGTCTTCATCTGATGCATTACACATCTTTAGAAATTAATATGTTCTATCATTTTGTTTGTTTCAAATCAGACCGTGACAGGCGACACCATCGTCTCCTCCAAAGCCTCTGCTGCAGCTGCGGTGCGGCGGGCTCAGAAGGAAGCAGAGACCAAGAGTAGCTCACAAAGGGAGAGCAGCAGTCTGGCTCTTGCAGGGGTGGAGGTCCCTGAGCCTGTGTTCTTCTGCTCCATTGAACCTCCTACTCTGGCCAAACAAGCAGGTAAGAACATTGTGAACAGATCTTCAGCAGATCACTTTCCAAATAGGCTGCAGCCTATTTCAGTAGGATTGAAATCTCAGTGGGATTTGTCAAACAGATCTGGAGCATGCGCTCAACTGCCTGCAAAGAGAAGACCCCAGTCTGAAAGTCAGAACAGACCTTGATTCTGGACAGGTAAATGAGTCATTTACAAAGTATGTCATCTTTGAAAGTGTTTTGTCTATTAGATGTTGCATTCTGTGTATTAGTGCTTGCATAGGCATGTACATATTTACATATTAAGTACGTATTTACTCGTTCAAACAAGCTTAGTGCTTAGAAAAAATGTCTTGCACAAATATTACATTGTGACACGTAACTGATCCTGCACCATTTGTGCTGCGGACATCAGATACCCTTGAATCTTGTGTTGAGGAGAGGAGTGCTTGTGTTCTACAATGTATTTTTCACTTATTCATGCACAGACGATACTGTGTGGCATGGGAGAGCTGCACATTGAGGTCATCCATGACCGTATTAAGAGAGAGTTCAACATCGAAACTCACCTAGGACCCTTGCAGGTGGCCTACAGAGAGACCATCCTCCAATCAGCAACTGCCACAGGTGAGGCTAGTGCAAACTCTCCCCTCGTGTTTTATATGTATGTGAAAATCATCTTACTTTGTTTGTGATGAAACATCAGAACTATTTCCCAATGACAGGTTATCTGTTTTGTTTGTCTGCTTTACTGTTTTATGGTCCAGTGCGACTTATGGTTACAATAGACTTTGTCCATGGTAAAAAAAAAAAAAAGGGCATAAAATGAAAAAGAAAACAACATATATGACTAGTCACATGCCCTGATTTAGTGTAGGTTCAAGGGTGTAGGATGTTTTAATTTTTATATCAAATTAAAATATGAAGAAATGCTAAGAAACTAACATGCCTATAGTTCTACACAGAACAAACTGTAATGGTAAAATGGATTATAATATCAAATAATACAGTATTTATTCGGAGTAGATAAGTATTAGTAAATTTCAGTATGATTTGTATGATCATTTCAGACACATTAGATCGTACTCTTGGAGACAAGAGGCATGTTGTTACTGTGGAGCTCGCCGTCCATGCTCTGATGGAGTCTAGCACTTCCTGTGACGTGACTTTTGAGGAGGAAGTAAAAACTCAGCTTTCTGCTGGTGTCAGAGAAGCTGTGGAAAATGGAGTTCAGAGCGCATACCTCCAAGGTAACAGAAATGGATGCTTAAAAGCTTTTATGCCTGAATCATTCATCACATCTATATCTTCCTGGTACAGTATTGCAGTCTATAAATCTGATGTCTATGCCAGCCATATGCTGTTGCTAAACCAACTCCCTTTCCAGGTCCTGTGCTAGGTTTTCCTGTAGAGGGAGTAAAGACCGTTATCCAGCATGTAAGTTTGGAGTCAGGCACTTCTGCAGCCATGGTGTCAGCCTGCGTGTCTCGCTGCATGCTCAAGGTACTCAAACACTGTCCTGTGCCTTTTCCCACAATCACTTTCAAATATTGCCACATCTGAGTTTATGTCCTTCTGGTTCAGGCTCTGAAGCTGGCTGGGGGGCAGGTTTTGGAGCCGGTGATGGCTCTGGAAGTGACTGTAGGCGAAGAGTATCTGAGTCCTGTGCTTGCAGATCTCGCCCTAAACCAACTCCCTTTCCAGGTCCTGTGCTGGGTTTTCCTGTAGAGGGAGTAAAGACCGTTATCCAGCATGTAAGTTTGGAGTCAGGCACTTCTGCAGCCATGGTGTCAGCCTGCGTGTCCCGCTGCATGCTCAAGGTACTCAAACACTGTCCTGTGCCTTTTGCCACAATCACTTTCAAATATTGCCACATCTGAGTTGATGTCCTTCTGGTTCAGGCTCTGAAGCTGGCTGGGGGGCAGGTTTTGGAGCCGGTGATGGCTCTGGAAGTGACTGTAGGCGAAGAGTATCTGAGTCCTGTGCTTGCAGATCTCGCCCAGCGACGCGGTACTGTATGCGACATCCAAAGTCGACAGGAAAACAAGGTTTTGCTGGCTACAGTACCTTTGGCTGAGATGATGGTGAGTCTTTCATTAAAAATACTAAAATTATATATTATTATTGATAAATATTACATGTGTCGGCACAATTTACTGCAAGTTAATCTCTATGTATAATAAGGCCAATAATATGTAACTCTCACCATGTGTTTACTATACACCGTAACAAGTGAACTATGCTGAAACTATTTTTATATTTATTTATTTGCTTCAAGGGCTACTCAACCGTTCTGCGCACTTTGACCTCTGGGAACGCTACTTTTTCTCTGGAGCTTTCCAGCTATGAGCCCATGAACACTCAGGACCAGAATATACTGCTCAACAAGATGGCTGGACTGGCTTAAAACATTAACTTTCACCAACTGAACTGGGCAGTGTTTCCCAAAAGCATTGAAAGCTTAAGTACACCGTAGACCCACTGAAACCAGTGGAGCTACAATCAACTTAAGCTTACGATGCTTTTTGGGAAACGCAGCCCTGAACATTTATACAGACACAAATTTTGATTGCTGTGATTGGCTGCTCACATTTGGTCCAGAAGATAAAATCTTGGAGACTAGCGTACATACGGACATCTCCTGCTCAGCCCACATCGAGACCTAATAGGATTTTTTTTCTGATGGAGAGAAGAGTGTGTACATGTGTTTGTGTGTACATGTATATAAAATATACCAATAATTTTACAAGAACAATGCATTCATAAATGTTTTTAAAATATTCATTTCATTTATAAAACCCTTATGACATACCTAGCCTTGGGGAATAATTAAAAAGCAGACCTCGTTTCAAAAACTTCAAATTTATTCAAATTTAGAATAGTAATGACAGTTTAATCAAATTTAAGCATACAGAGGAAATTGAGATGTACAGAACTGTCCATTTGCAAACATCAAGTTCTGGCAATAACTGGCTCAGTGCATAGAACAGCAAATCATAGTTACTGGAATGGTTAACATGGTTTTATCTTTTAAAAAGTGTTGTCCTTTTATTCCCTTTGATTGTCTACTGTGAACTGAATGTTGAATTTCATAGGCCCATGTACTCCTGACGGCAGTGGCCAACAAATAGAGGTTCTGCAGGTATGCCTCTCCTGATGGGGAAAGAGGGGTGAAACATCAGTGAAACACCAGTGAAACATACAAAAATATGCCTGTGCAAATTAAATTATTTGTACAAAGACTGTACCGAATACTTTTTACATTTTCAAAATCTTCCCAATCGACCCAAAACAGACAGCCTTAAAAAAATTATTCGAAAGAAATAATATTGTTATAAATTAATCTATAAATAAACAAAAATCAAGGCCATCAGAGATTAGTGAGGTCACTCCACTGCTAAGCATTTTGATTCTTACACATAAAATTGAAGAATGAAATAGATCAATGGAACTGTATGCTGTATTATTGATTAAATAAGTTGAAGATTGCATTAATGAATTTGCCACTGTCATATTTGAACTCACTTGACCATGCGGCAGCGATGCTGGGCCAGACGATTATAGGCATTACCCACGTCTGTCACACTTTTATCACTCCATAACCTCTCGGCAACAGCACTGGCTCTTGGCCTGCAACGGCACAAGCAAACAAAAAAAATCATAATTTACATAATTCTAAATAAATACTAGGTTTGGTTCCTAACTTTATCTTTTATGTTTTACACGTTACAAGACAGGAGATGGTACAGTTGAGTAATATATCATACCAGAGTCGAGGAGTGAGGTTGGTAGCATCCACATACTCTCCCCAAAGACAAGCCTCTCCACCAATCACCAGCTTCTTCTGTGCATCTGTGCCTGTGGTAAATTATCAATCACAAGTTATAAACAACAGCAAAAAAAATGAATACAACATTGTACAAAAAGCTGTCCCTCAAAGTAAAGAGTTGATCCTGTTTGAGTCTGATCTGTGTGCCAAACACTCCTATATCAAACATCTAAAAACCTGCAGACAAAGCAAACCATTTAAACTGGGTCGTGACTGAATAGACTCATAACTGTAAATCTGTCCAAAGTGCCATGGTCACATGACAAGCATGTTTGTTTGCATATCCAAATGAAAATGTGTTCCTAACAATGCCATTGCTATGACGGAGCTTTGGACTGAAAAAAAAAAAAAACTGATCCTCATTGATTTAAGGATATGAGATTATCTGGTGTAAATGACACTGTACAATCACATGCCACCTTTGTCATTTAAACATGTTGCCTTTGAATCAGTGTAGCTGACCTTCAAAACCTAAAACCATTTGTACCAACCTTGGTTACAGTAAACAAGACAATTAACCAGATTCATCCAATAACAGACTTCTCAACTCTTGTGTTCAAGAGAGGTCAACTCCAACATAGGTCAGAAAATCATGTATTGTATAATCAGTGCTGTTTAAAGTTACTTAACAGTCAGTTTTTTACTGTACACCTTGAGATGTTGTACAAATTTAGGAGAAGCACAAGTCAAACAGAAACAGAGGCCCACAGACTTTCTCTGCAAATGACACACACACCAGTGAAATTTTGGGGGTCGGCTTTGTAAACGTTCACCCAGTCTTGGCCGTAGCTGATGCGGTTGAGGTACCAGGGTGTGGAGAGCAGAGCATTGAAACCAGCCGCTGTTACCTTCGCCATCTCATCCTGGTACTGCGGCCTTTCTTTCCACACATGGATCTGTGTGTCGGCTTTCAGCTACATGTGTACACATACAGACGCATGTATAACACAAACGAACACACGTCAATGTGGATAAATCACTCTGGACTCCATTTAAGGTCTCTGTGAGGCTTTTCATGCTTCATTCACATTTACATTGTCAAAGATACCAAGATTGCACATTTATGCAGATCTAGTCGCTAGTAGTCGTCATGAAAGAACTGAACATGGTTCATTTTAAAGTGACAAAAAATATGGATGTACAATATTTGGCATAAAATCAGCTGTAAAAAAATTATTATTGGCTATCAATATTGGCACATCCCAATATAATGCAATCAATATTCATAATAAGTTACGTTATAAATAATAGGTAAACAATGTCAACACTACATCAAAAATTGTAATGTTAGATCTTGAATGTAGTCCAGAGAAATATATCCATCTAGTGTCATATTTTCCTGGAAGGTCAGATGCTTAGTGACTCAGTCAACATGTCTTTCTCATTAGATCATTAGTTAATGGCCTTTAAACCTGACAACAGTTAACTATTATTCTATACAGTAACATCTACGAAGAACGAGGTAGAAATTTTTACTTTTTAGTAGTCATATTAATTTAACAAGACTGAAGCAAGATGGAGGAGGAATTATGGCAAAGTATACACTACCATTCAAAAGTTTGGGGTCACTAAGATTTTTTTAAGGTCAAAAGTGACAGTAAAGATATTTATGTTGCCAAAAAAAAAAGTAAATGCTGTTCTTTTGAATTTTTTTATTCAAAGACTTCTGAATGATCATGACATTTAACAATATTGCTGCTTTTACTGTATTTTTGATCAAATAAACAGCCTTGGAGAGACTTCTTTCAAAATAATTTTTTAAAACTCTTACCAGATCCAAACTTTTGAACGGTAATGTATTTAGAGTGATAGATGATGGAATGCGAGCTTTCCATAGCATTCAGGAACATGTGGTTTCAGTGTCTAAAACAACTGACCTCGAGATGTGGCAGGAGCTCAGAGTTGATCAGGAGTGCTCAAACACTCTGACATTACGTAGACATGACAACGTACTAGTGACGAGCAAAACCAAGACCCTGAGCCAGACTGACCGGATCACAACTATACACTACAATAATGCAGAAATTACAGGAAATTCTATATAATTAATATATGGTCGATGACAAGCGTATTTGTCCTCTATTAAAATACAAGTGTTTCTCAGTGAACCAGCTCTACGCAGACCAAAGCCTCAACCCCCAAGCTTGTTTGTGATTCAACACCATGTCAACTTGTCCATGGCTATTTTCAGGGCAAGAAACAGGTTAAAATGTAATTAAAGGTATAGTGATTGAAAAGGTTACTAATAACCATATTTAATTAAAACTGAATCTGAACTAACTTTCTTAACCCTAAGTTGCCAACATGGCATGTCAAAACCATCACACATAATTTAATGGTCAATACATGAGTAAACACTCAATAACTATAGTTTCTACGTTTGAAACTACTAGATTAGTAAACTAGTGGTGCTAAAATAAACAAAATTAGAGTTGGACTGCAGAAACTGACCAGGGAAATTGAGTGGCTCAACTTTGTAGTAGCGTTGCCAGTCCTGTCCATAGCTAATGTAGTCCAGGTACCAAGGGGCAGAAAGAATGGTTGTAAATCCTGCCCCAGTCACATTCTGTAGCTCCTCCTCCATCTTGTTCCCCATCCACACCTCCACCACAGTGTCATCCTTCAGCTGGAACATGCATAAAGCACATTATGTGCCCTAATCAATGTTTGTTTGTTTTTGGGGCTGTTATATTGTTACTGGCAATCATACATCTACATGCAAGCACAGTTAAAAACAGCAATTTAGTGGCATGTTAGCAGTGGCTTGTGAAAAGGCGAGCATGCAAGTCAAGCTATTTGTGATTAAGAAGGTTAAAGAAAAGTAGATTAGGCTTTGATTTGAAGTCACAAAGCATTTTGGACCTGCAAGAATGTGTCTTAATTTGTTTATAAAAGGTGGTTAAAGTAACGAAGACTGTGATATAACATTTATGGATTTACATTACTTCCCAACAGGACGAGCCCTTCAGCACAGAAAAGATGAGCCTTACCTTCACCCCATTATCAAACACTTCCTGCCACACCATGTAACCTTTCTTGGTAGCAGCCACAATATCAAGTAATCTGTTTTCCAAAGATGAATAATACATAATATTAGAATGTGTTTTGATTCATATTTTCATTTACAATTACATTCTTCTGAGAAATAAAAAACCGTCATAATAATCTGTAATTTAGACTACAAGACCACAATAAATGTATTACATTTACATTTAGCAGACGCTTTTATCCAAAGCGACTTACAAATGAGGACAATAAAAGCAGTCAAAACTAACAAAAGAGCAACAATAGGAAATGTATTCCTGACTATAGTGAAGCTCTTACCTTTGAATGTAGAAAGACTCCAGTTTGCTGTAGTCTGTGCCAAAGCCCTGCTGCACCATAAACTTCTGAATATCAGGATTAGACTTCCTACAGAAACAATAAATGGAATGTAAGCATGGCCTTTAACAGTAACAGCTATCAACACAAAGTAAAGCAAATAGAAAAAGAGAAACAATACATGCCCTTACATATTAGGCTATGTAATTTTCGGTTAGAAACAAACTGTTTCTGTATAACACTCAAGCTACCGTGTGACAGTTACAGTTATTATTTCTTTTAATCAAAGTATTTGATAAAAGAAAATAATTGTATATAAGGTAAGATTATTGGCATTACATTATTCAGATAAACAATGTAGTTTAATAATTGACGATTGAGTAGGAAGCTCCTTTTTTCTTACCAGCAACTGAAGTCAACCTCATCTCCCCCCAGGTGAATGTAGGCATCAGGGAAGACAGTGCTAATCTCTTTAAAAAACTCTGTCATGAAGTCATAAGAGGAGTTTAAGATGGGGTTCACCGGCCCAAATGTTCCTGAAGGACTACAGCCACTGTAACAAGGTGTTAGCAGATCCTTTATGCCTAAGGGAAAGAGCGACAGAGAGAGAAAACGTGTTGTCATATTAATCAGTAAGTGCAGTTTAAATGTGAACTACTGAAACCAACACAACATGACTTAAGGCTGGAATACACTATATGACTTGTTTACATTTGCCATGCATCTCCTAGCAATAAGGCATGTTTCTTTGTGAGTTAGCTCTGTGTTTGTTTCGACTTAAAAGTCATTTCTTTCGGTTCACATTTCAATAGTTATGCAGTGTTATTCCAGCCCTAAACATGACTAAGCAAAACAATCTGTGAAAAGCTCATGTATCAAGTCCACCAACTTACCATTGCCCCATGACCGTGTGTGTCCTGGTGTGTCAAACTCAGGGATGACTCGGATCCCCCTCATGCGGGCAAACTCGATGACCATCTTCACGTCAGATGGAGTGTACACATGTGTGAATGGGTGATAGGCTCCCTGTTAATCACAAAAAAATAGGGAAAACATGATCGATACACAAAGATTAACACTTTCCCAGTTAGATTTCAGCAGTGGCAGTTGAGTTCTACAACCTAAATCTTTTGATTAGAGGTGAAATTTCTACACTAAAGGAAATGACACTGGAAATAACACTGGAACTGACGTGTCCTACAGCACTATCATCATTTTGTGGTAAATCTTTATCCCTTATCTTTCGCTTCAAATGCAGCAAATACAAAAAAAGTATATGAGAACAGGGAACTATTTTTAAAAGCATGGCATATCTTTTTTAAAGCCTTTCAAAAAATCTGGAATTTGTTGCAGTGTAACAATACAATAGCTTGATACGCATAGTCGTGGTCTCCTATTTACATGATGTTGGCCATCGCCCTTTAGCGATAATATAATTCTAGCATGGTAATCCACTAACAACCTGTTTGAAATCTACAATATTTCTCATGTTTTGAATAGAGATGTATTTAATCAGTGTGAGGCAGTCAAGTTTGAATCTAAAACAAAGTCAAGTACATCATATACTCACCTTCTGACTTAAGTCAGGGAAGGTACCACTCATATAAGGAAACGACTGATCGTCCACAATGTGCCAGTGAAATACATTAAACTTGTTCATCGCCATAGCTTCCTGTGAAAATTAGACATTTTATTACTTAACGCTGTGGGATGAGAAGCACTTCAAAATGCATCAAATGGGGAAAAAAACAAACCTTGGAGGGTCCTTGCACATATTTCCACTAATATGAACATGTGACTTGCAGTTAATTCTAGGTCAAAACTTTATATCACTACTGTTCGCTAACCGCAATTTTTTCCAGACAAACCTTGTGATAAGCGTCATCTTGTCTTGTGATTACTGTCATGTATGAACATAAAGAACTTGACTTTCCAGTCTCATAAAATAACTTCCTTGAGCTTTTTAGCTGACACAAGTCTAATGAGGAAACTGAGCATTAATGAAAAACTTTGTAGGCCTGTCGCAATAATCAATATATATCGACTTATCGCGCAATATATGTACATGACCTCAATAATTTTTGGTGACGCAATATATCGCCCATTATATTTACTTAAAAATTAATGTCACCATGTTTTGTACATTCCAATTGCGCCTGTGTCTTTGCAGCCAGCCGTACATAATGTGGTGTAGTCATGAGGTGCTAGTTCAAATTTAAAAAATGCTTCTACAAAAAAAAGTTTAAAAATTAAAAGTTTGTTGTCATTTGGAAGTGTGTAGGCCTTCTTGCATTACTATGCTGTTACATTATGATTATATATTCAGTGGCATAAAATGGTCTTTAATATGACAATAATATCGCTTATCGCAATTACTTCTGAGGCAATATATCGCACAACAAAAAGTTGTTATCGTGACAGGCCTAATGATAAGTCATCGATTAATCGTGGCCTATTTTAATCATGGCCTAAATGCCACTCTAGACCCATGCATGTGTTTAAGTAAAGCATGACCTTGTAAAGCAAATGATTTCAGCTCACCAAATTGGCCAAAATGACTTTGAGTGGCAGGAAGTGGCGAGATGAGTCCAGGAGGATCCCTCGATGGGCAAACCGTGGGAAATCTGAGATCTCTGTCTTATTGATGTTGTTCTGTTGAGAAGACAGCAAAAAGTTGTTTTGATATTAGAAGAGCTTAAATAGATATATTGGTGGAATTTATTCATATTTAAAGCCCTAATCAAAAACAATAATCCAATAAGTAATGGTCTACTTCAAACTTACGGCTCCATAGTCATCCTCATAGACCAGCTGGCTGAATGTTTCCAGTCCTTACAACAGTAAACATGAGGTTACACATCGATTAAATCATAAATTAAAGCTGCAGTCCGTAACTTTTGGCACTCTAGCGGTTAATAAACAGAACTGCGTGCGTCTTGCAGAAGAACATTGTAGCCGGAGCTACTTCTCTCTGTTTATGTCTATGACGAATCACACAGGTACTGCGCTACTCTGCAGCGGTACCTACCCGAACCAGTCTAAAATAGTCAGAATATACACACTTATTATAGGTGTACCGTAGTGATTCAGGACAAGCCAAAAACACAGTTTGGAAAATTGATTCATGGTGTACTCCCTTATTATATAAATGTTGTTAATTTTGAACACAAAAAAGTTACAGACTGCAGCTTTACGATAAAACATATTATATGGACATGATAAATACTGCCATCTCTTCTCTTAGGGCAGGATTACACAAACCCTGGCTTTGAAACAACACTAAACATTCTTAAGTAAGGACAATGCCACTGATAGGAATGGAAATTAGATTCTACGTAATACATTAAAAACAGTAATACTGTGAAATATTGTTGCAATTTAAAATAACTATTTTCTATTTTAGTATATTTTCAAATGTATTTTCCTGTGATGGCAAAGCTGAATTTTCAGCAGGCATTACTCCGGTCTTGTCTAGTGCCACATGATCCTTTAGAAATCATTCTAATATGCCGATTTGCTGCTGTAGAAACATTTCTTATTACTACCAATGCTGAAAACAGTTGTACTGCTTAATATTTTTGTAGAAACGGTGATACCTTTTCACGATTTGTTGATAAATAGAAAGTTTAAAAACAGCATTTATTTGAAATATATTATTTGTAACAATTTAAATGTGTTTACTGTCACTTTTTATAAATTTATTGTGTTCCTACTGAAAAAAAGTATTAATTTCTTCTTCTTCTTCAAAAAAAAAAAGACTGACCAGACTTTTTAATGGTAGTGTATATGTTCAAAAGGGAAATATAATTGTGAGCTTGTTTACTGCCTTTACTGTAGAACTCCATTGTAGAGTTTCGCTTACCACGCAAAGCTCCCCATGCATTAGCAGCTTTCAGCACAGCAGAGGATTCATCAACTGACAGCTCATCTACACAAAGAGAGCAAAACTTTACACAATTCACAGACAACTAAAACATTCACTGGCTCAAGCCCACACAGTTGAGTTTAATCTCAACACATCTGATTGCAGAAGCAAGAAGTGGCTGACTTTCATAATGCAGTTTCCATGAAATATTAAGCAGAAAAGCGTTTATAAATTACTTTGCACGAGTCAAATGTTACTACATCTAAAAAGAGCACTAGGATCACGTTAATACGTTAACCCGATTACACCTCCGAGAGGCAGATGTCAATTATTGGATTTGCCGATCGTTCATTGGATTAGAGATCACTGAGGTTACGGCGCATTGGATCACAGAGGCGGAAGGGAAAAGAGCTCACATGACTCGTCGGTTTGCAGACTCGGGTAACCGTTGCACTCCGGATCAGCTGATGTGATCCATACCTGAAGCTCCACGAGATCTGAATCATACACTTTCTTTCGGCTCTTCTCGTGCTTCTTCAGGTCACCAAACACGTATTCAAAATATCTGCAAAGCAAAGGTCAGCTGAAGCCCAAGTGCTGTATATTTGGCACGGAGCACACAGCGCTCATGAACCATACTTTACTGACACTGTAACGTACTTCCTGTTAAAGCTAAACATTAGCGTCTTTTATAACACAATATCGGCACAAATATGAATAAGGTATTGTACAGTTAAGTTACCTGCGAAACGCATTCTCGAGTATGCTGCAGCTCGGTCCGGCGGAGGACTGTTTCGCGTGGACGATCTGAAAGCTGGCGGGACTGAGTTTAAAAGCGACGGCGGACGACTGAAATTTCTGCGGTAGAGGCCAGAGAGAGATTTCATTCAGCTCCTTCTGTTTTCCCACAAAGTCGCCGAAGAGCCAGCCATGGCAGACGGCTACCGCCAAAATCAGCGGCGCACATTTGAGCAGGCAGTACATGTCTGTGTTGAGCGCTGTGCGGTCAGCTGACTTCTGCTTCAGTCTGAACGGGGGAGTATGGATGTGCTCTGAGCTCAGGGGCGGTGTTTACCTCAACCCAAGTCATGGGACCTACCAAGCCGCCACACCCCCCTAAACGTCTAAAGTGAATTTCACAGATTGTTATTATCAAACCTCATCCCTTTATCTGTTCATTTGCACCGAGAACAATGAAGAAGGTCAATTCTTAGATGTAGGCTAAACTTGCAAAACAAATGGCCCAAGCAAAGGAAACGATATGAGCTAAACAATGTTTCAGATTCAACACGTCTTATGATTATAAAGGGAGAAGCCTGCATATATTTAAATCATATCACGTAATAAAAACAATAAAATAGCAAGACTAGTAGCAAAAGGCATATTTCCCGAATAAACGATATGAGCTAAACAATGTTTCAGGTTTCAACACGTCTTATGATTATAAAGGGAGAAGCCTGCATATATTTCAATCATATCACGTAATAAAAACAATAAAATAGCAAGACTAGTAGCAAAAGGCATATTTCCCGAATACCGTGTACTTATAATAATAAATAGTGGCCTACTGTGTACTACCGACTTTTTGTAAAGCAATATTTGTTGTTGTTCTGAACAACTAGATATTATTGATATACTATTTTCTAATGTGAAATTACGATAGAAAGAAAATGAGTTTCAAGATTTTTTTCTGCACAAATAGTTTATATACTACCGTTTAAAGCCTTCCCCAGGTATGCCTACATTCGTTTAAAAAAGCCCATAAAACTAGAAACTCCCACTTGTGTTGTGCAGAGACCTTATACACTACTCAGAGACCTCATACTTGAAAATTCAGTCATTCTTTACTTTTTAGACAACAAAAAAAGAAATTAAAGGCACAATGTGTAATTTTTCGCCGCTAGAGGGCGCATATTCAAACTAAACAAAGAAACAAAGGCGTAGTTTGATGACGCTGTGACTGAGTGTGGAATCATGGGAGTTGTCGTCTTCATCCCCACAGCCGATGCAATCCGACAGGACTCTGGCAGAAATCATGGTCATGGATGAGCTAATGATTTATTAATGTAGTAGACGAAAGCAGGATGAGGCTGAAAGCCGTCGAAGCGAAACGAGGCCGCTGGTCCATGTCACTAGTTAAAATTGCTTATTTATCTGGATTTAAACATTCTTCTAAACATTTGGGATAATGTAAGTACATTAGTCAGCAAAATATATAACACTGTTCTAGTGGTTTTTGGACATTTTAATTTTAAAAAATCTTACATATTGTGCCTTTAAAATGTTTTGCTTGGTCTTGGTCGGCGAAGAAAGAAGGGCACATTGCAACACCAGGGTGAGGAAAATAACTGAATTTTAATATTTATGTGAACTGTTGATGTTTCCTTTTTAAGAATTACGAGAAAAGTAACACTGAACACTGTCAATTTCATCAAACCTACCCACCTACCCAGAGCTGGGCTGCCCAAAAGCATTGTAAGCATAAGTAGATCATATAGAACTTTGCTGCCAATGGTTTCTACAGCTAAATATGATTTTGAGAAACTGCCTGTCTCTCTCTCCCTCTCTCTCTCTCTCTCGCTCTGTGCGTGTGTGTGTGTGTGTGTGTGGCGTCCGCGGCGTCCGCTAGGTGGCGCGTCCTTGTGTTCCATACTAATGCAACGAATTATATCTCCCGTACAGTGACACTACATCAGTTTACATTTGCAAACATTCATTTTGCCATTAACTGATGTGTGCGTGCGTGTGTGTGTGTGTGTGTGTGGCGTCCGCTAGGTGGCGCGTCCTTGTGTTCCATACTAATGCAACGAATTATATCTCCCGTACAGTGTGACACTACATCAGTTTACATTTGCAAACATTCATTTTGCCATTAACTGAAATAATCCAGTGAGATTTTTGTATGCACACGGAGCCCGACAACAGAGGTATTGGCCACATATATTTTATAGCTCCACAGATTTAGAAAAGAAACATACCAGGCAACAGGAGCCACATACTTAAGTCTACCACATTACTGCCCAAGAAGACCCAAGAACAATCGTGACATTTTTCATTCGAAAGTTAGACATTTAAATCACCTACATACGTCAAGGGCATTTACAGGTTTGATGCAGACAACGCAAATTCGCCTTTTGTTCAGCAGGGGGCAAAATTGTTCAGTGAATTTAAATTCAAAACTAGCTCTGAACCTTCTAACCAGTGTGTGCATGGTAGTGCATCTCACAGACTGAGGAATAAAGTTTAGGCTGGATGCACAATTTATAGACTATATGATTTAAATGACTATCACTTGAAAAACAGCATTGCCATTGGAGTTGCTGTTCAAGTAGGATTACTCTTAAGCAGCACTTCCTAAAGGGTCAGTTATATGCGAAGTATACAGTAATGTATACAGAGACTTTGAATACATTCATACACACAAACCCCTTGGTGATATGCAGTCTAGTAAAATGTCTTTATTATTATATTAATGAGCCCCACCACCACAATCTCCTTATCTCTTTTCACGCCAGTTCATCGGTCTATCTCCTCCCACATTCTCCTAAAGAGCTGCAGCGCTCCGCCTCTCTTTCTTCGTTCTCTAAAAGCTGTTCACACCCGTCAGCTGTTCAGTATTGAGACCTGCACACACACGCGGTGGCGGAGCTGCTGTGTGGCGATACGAGCGAATGTAGTTGTGCACCGTAGTCACAAAGATAGAGGAACTCAAGCAGTTTTCTGTGTAACTCAGCAACAATAGACCAAACTGCATTTCTAGGCTGGTTGCTTACGTTAAAAGCAAGTGGATTAAATTACTCTTCATTTGTGTATTTTGTGGTTTATCCACGCGACATCGGACGCTGTTGCCAGAGCGTTTAGCGCCGCCAGTATTGTGACTGCACGCGTCTCGTTGTGGCATGTTTGTGAGCCAAAGCAGACGGAACTGAAGTCCTCATTGCTCCTGAACCGGTAATATATCTTTAGTTACTCTAGGTTGTTTCTAGGACATATTTCATAGGACATTTCGCTATTAAAGCATGTGAAAATATTTGAAATATTAAGAAAATATGTACATTTAAAGCATTAAATAATTATTCTAGTTGTCATTTATTTTAAAATTATATTATCAAAATAGTGGTGTGTGCAAGTGATGTCAGTGCACCTATGACATTGTCATGAGAATGTTGATTTGTCATTCAAAATTAGTTTTCTGGAACAAGAAATGGTGTTTTAAAAGCACTTTTTAATAGAGCCTACTTATAAGATATATTTGTCATTACACAAATTTTCATTACACTCTTTATTGTAACCTATCAACTGATTGTTTATGATTTATCATAAACATATCATTCACATCACATTGCTATTCTCCAGTGCTGTGTTGCAAAATAATTAATAGCCAATGTCAGCACAGGGTTTCTGGCTCTTGTACTTCACAGCTGTGGCCAATATAAATTGATTATTGGGCTGTATCAGGTGTGATACATCAACATTGCTTGTGTGTCCTTAATGTATTTAGCCAAGTTCGGAACTACATTTTGCCTCTGCACAACATTAGTGGAAACACAATTAAATTCTCCCTGGAGGGATGTTGACAGCCGCCGGCAGGGACTGGGGGCGTGTATCGGTTACATGGAAATTCAGGCTGATTGGATTTGAATGTGCACCATATAGGCGACCATATGGCAGCCGGTGACATTGACACACTTAGTGTTGACTCTGTGCCTGGTTCTCTACTCTTTGTTCGTTTTTCCACAGTGAATTTTCAGGCAGGGGTGTTTACTTCTGAAGGTTTTTTTCCCTTTCAGTTTCCCCCTTCTTATCCATCTGCCTTTGAACACCTGGTAATGATTAGACTCCCTTGCATTTGTTCGCATTCCAGTCGGCTAGACATCAGAGAGGCTTCCAGTGGGTTTTTATGTTGTGTTTGCAGAATTACATCATCTTCTCTGCCTTCATGTTGAGGTTTGGCATGCTCTTTGTGTATTGTGCTGATACCGATCATATCACTGTTCAAAACAATGTCAGTCAACTCGGACAACAGAGGCTATTCAAGCCACAGCAACATGCCAGTTGTCACTAGGGTACACAGGCTATTAAAATATTTTGTCAGAATCCATTCATCCAGAGGTACTATGGAAGTGCTTGAATTTGTAGAGTAGTCAAAGAGTGTGAAAGGGATAGTTCAGCCAAAAATTCAAATTCTGTTATTTACCCACCCCATATGGTTCCAAACCTGTGTGATTTCTTCTGTGGAATACAAAAGATGTTTTGAAAAATCTTTTTTTCCTCCCATTGTAGGACAAAACAAAAACTTCAAAATACCATCTTTTGTGTTAAATAATGGTTTGAAATGACATGAGGGAGAGTAGATGATGACAGAAATCAATTTTGTCATTGTAAGCTACTCTGATTTAATGTACAACTTATAAATTGAAGAGCACTGAAAACTCGGCAGTAGCTCTGGGTTTGAACATCAGGTTGAATCGGGTTGAACATCAGGCTTTTGCAAATTAAGTGTAATGGTTTTCAAGTAACTCGTATTACAGTTTGACTGCAAAAAGTTGTCAATTTATTTAGGTTAAACTTGTATCTACTCTGCGTTGTCTAGGTATTGGAGCTCCTTCTGGACTATGCCTATTCGTCAAGAGTGATAATAAATGAGGAGAACGCGGAGTCTCTCCTTGAGGCCGGTGACATGCTGGAGTTTCAGGACATCCGTGATGCTTGTGCCGAGTTCCTGGAGAAGAACCTTCACCCATCCAACTGCCTGGGCATGCTGCTTCTCTCAGATGCTCACCAGTGCACCCAGCTGTTCCAGCTGTCCTGGAGCATGTGCCTCAGTAACTTCCCTGCTATCTGCAAGACTGAAGAGTTTCTCCAGCTGCCTAAGGACATGCTGGTCCAACTGCTGGCACACGAAGAGCTCGAAACCGAGGACGAGCGTCTGGTCTACGAGTCGGCACTTAACTGGGTGAACTACGACCTTGAGAGGAGGCACTGTCACCTTCCAGAGCTGCTCCGTACTGTGCGTCTGGCTCTCCTGCCTGCCATCTTCCTCATGGAGAATGTCTCTACGGAGGAGCTCATCATCGCCCAGGCTAAAAGCAAAGAGCTGGTGGACGAGGCCATCCGCTGCAAACTGCGCATCTTGCAAAACGACGGCGTCGTCAATAGTCCTTGCGCCCGGCCCCGCAAGACCAGCCATGCCCTTTTCCTGTTGGGTGGCCCCACGTTCATGTGCGACAAGCTCTACCTGGTGGACCAGAAGGCCAAAGAGATCATTCCAAAGGCAGACATCCCCAGTCCACGCAAGGAGTTCAGCGCCTGTGCCATTGGCTGCAAAGTGTATGTGACTGGGGGCCGGGGCTCAGAGAACGGTGTGTCTAAAGACGTTTGGGTGTATGACACATTACATGAAGAATGGTCCAAAGCGGCTCCGATGCTGATCGCTCGTTTCGGTCACGGTTCTGCTGAGTTACGCCACTGCCTGTACGTCGTTGGAGGTCACACAGCTGCCACTGGCTGTCTGCCTGCATCACCATCTGTGTCCTTGAAGCAGGTAGAGCAGTTTGACCCAGTTGCTAATAAGTGGAGCATGGTGGCACCACTGCGAGAAGGAGTTAGCAATGCTGCTGTCGTCAGCGTTAAGCTGAAGTTATTCGCCTTCGGTGGGACGAGTGTGGCCCACGACAAGCTGCCTAAAGTTCAGTGCTACGATCCCTCAGAAAATCGCTGGGCGGTCCCTGCATCCTGTCCACAGCCGTGGCGCTACACTGCAGCTGCTGTTCTCGGCAACCAGATCTTTGTAATGGGAGGCGACACAGAATTCTCTGCTTGCTCTGCTTACAAATTCAGCAGTGAGACTTATCAGTGGACTAAAGTTGGAGATGTTACGGCAAAACGAATGAGCTGCCAAGCGGTGGCCTCTGGAAACAAACTTTATGTGGTGGGTGGCTACTTTGGTACACAGCGCTGCAAAACCCTGGACTGTTATGACCCCACGCTGGATGCCTGGAACAGCATCACTACCGTACCATATTCCTTAATCCCCACTGCCTTCGTCAGCACCTGGAAACACCTCCCAGCCTGAAGCACGCCTGTTCTCCCCTGTGTGACCCTACTGTTCCTACGAGGTAGGTCATGCAGTCTAAAAAAAAGAATTACTAGGCTTAGCATGCATGTTACTTTTTTTTGTCCAATTACAGAAAAGGATGAAATAAATAGTAGTACCATATCAGTAATCTAATGATACTAGAGTATTTAATCTACAGTATTTATCTTAAAGTTAATATTTTAAAAGTAATAATTTAAAAACACTGTACAATGTAATCTATCAAATGTCAAAATCTAGTCAGGGCATCCCATTTTCATACTGTACATTAGGGTTGGGCGATGTCTACAGTGAAACATCGTGATGGACAATGACATCGGGGGGAGGGGGGAGTTAGGGGGTATGCCCGAAACATGAATCCCTATTCAGAAAGGCACAGAAAACAAATAACGATTGCTAACGGTTGCCAGTTAAATTACAGTAGCTACATAAAATTTCACTTTCTGTTTATTTCACCACATAAACGGAGTAAGGAGAGACTGAGGACGATGGCGAATGATTTGCAAAATGTGTGGCAAGTACTGCCGCTAACAGAGTATCTGCGATCGCGAATCTCGAAAGTGAAAGTGAAACTAAAAAGCAATCGTGCATTCAAAAGCAGTTTCAATGCCAGGCATAATAGCGGCTCCCTGATGCCCGCAATTTGTATACAGTATAATTGCCCAATGATATACAGGTAACTGCGAGAGAAAATATTGAAATATATTTTCCTCCCATCTCGTATTTATTCCCTTTAGGGGTTCCGTGTACACGGTATTGGGATGCAGCGGATTGCGGGGGGTGGGGGAATCACGATGCTGGCTCAACATCGTGAAGTCTATCAGCCATCGGCGATGGATGATGGCATCGTCTATCGGCCCAACCCTACTGTACATCATAAAGTTGTGCTGTTTAAATTAATTTAAAATGAAATGGCCCTTCAAATAATAAATAACGATTTATTTCAAATCTATTTAGATAAAATAGTATAGAAATTTTTATATGTTCTATTTATCAGTTATCATTTATCGGACTTGACATAAAATTATTGGTTTATCATTGGCAAGAATTTCTAGATTCCTGTCTGTATATTTGGGCATTTTATGTATTACTATGATCAGTCTCCGTTTCATTTCATGGTGGACATTCATCCAGAAAATCTCATTGTTTACATTCTGTCTACAAGTGGTTGTATGAGCTTATCTTTGCATGGTCAAAGTAGTTTGTAAGGACCGAAATAGATTTTAAGAGAATTTTTCTTTTGAACACGAGGGAATTTCGCAGGCCTTGTTAGTCAATTTTGTGAACCTGTTTAGACAATATTTGCTAATTGTTCATTTTCCCAGAACATTTTTAACTCTTAATTATAAAAAATTCCAGTGTTGTGGTTGCCATACACAGTACCCTCTTTGAACGTATACTGAAACATTGAAACATTTTACATGGCTTTCTGTGTGTTCATATGCATACTGCATTTGGATATAGAGGTTATTTATCCCTCATGATCTGCCTCATGCATACATTGACAAAGAACCTTATTCAAATCAATGGCAAATTGAGTATTGACAGAACAATTATATTGTCTTAGGAAGCAGAGAGGAAAGAAACAGCAAGGCAGCATGCTATGAATATCAACCAGGTCAACACAGCTCATGTGCAAAATCAGATATCTTTTTTTTTCAGTCTATCAGTTACCCAGTGCTTTTTTGTGTTCTTTCTCATTCCTTGACTGATAGTCTTTTTGCTGTTTTCTTTCTTTGTTTCTGTGAGGAGATTCTTCTGTTGTGTATATAGGTGTACTAATCTCAGGGTTTCGCTTTAATCGATAACTTTCAAAGCTGGTGCATTCATGGATGTTTTATAATAGGTTGCTACAGATGCCACGTCTCCCGAGAGTCCATAAAAATAGTGGCTATTAAGCATTGAGCTTTGCTCAGTCTCCAGGAAAACAGGCTTCGGTCACAGCGGGACTGCATCAGAAAAGGGCATCATGCTTTCCAGTATCTACCTCTCAGCAGTGATATGCCCAGCGATGCAGTATGTGTGTGTGAGCGCTCTGTCTGGTCTGGCTGATATGGAGACTCTGCTGTATCTGATCAGTCTCCAGACTGTGAGGGAGGAAAAAAATAGAAATCCTTGCTTGAGAGAATTCAAAGCCTTGTTCTTTGAGCTGGAGATTGAAGCTCCATACACCTATCAGAGAAGGATGCTAGGTTACACCTGAATTTCAGTGTGCATGTGGGCATATGCAAATCTTCACATGTAAAATTTAGATCCAGAGTAAAACTTTGTGTTTGTGTGCCTCTGTTGTGAGGAGGCAGCTTTGCGGTAGGGCTGAATGAGTTATGAGTGTGCAGTGAGGGGCGTTGCACCGAGGGTAATTGAAGCAGAATAGAAGACTTTTATTGTTCCTGAGGGGGAAATTTGTCTAAGGGTGGAGGAAGGAGGAAAGAGAGGTAGGGCAAATAAGGGAGGAGGGAGGGGCTCAGAGAAAGAAAAGGTGAGTTGTTTAATTTGGATGAGCAGTGTGTTGACGACAAGGAGCATGCTAGCATGAAGTCTGAGCAAAGTTCTGTACCTTTGTATGGTTACAGTAGGCTTTTGCATTGTTTAGCTACAGTCTTTGTCTAAGTACAGTATATATGCTACAATGTGTAATCAAATATTGATTAAATAGACATTGTGCATCACCACTGTCTTTCTGGTTAAAGGTGTTGTCACCTTTACAGTTGTTCAGTGAATTTTCACAAGAAAAACAGTCATTTTAATAGGAATCTACATAGTCTGTCGTTTGTGTGACGGCGTAAGATTTCCCCATGTAGATTCAGCATTGGTTTAAATTGGTCACACAGATTTGCATAGCAGACTGGCAGATATCAAAAATGTATCTTGAAATTTTGCAAATGTGACCACACCTTAACGAATGTACATGCTGGATAAAGCAGTGCTACAATCCCATTATGTAGATTAAAAAAATTAATGACTAATACAGTTTAAGTCTGACTAAAGCATTTATATGATTTAACTGTTAGATGTATCTACTGTGATTGGTTAATCATTGATGAAATAAAGATGGTGAAATAAACATACTTGTTTGAAATGCATATACTGTAGATAAAACACAGTGTCTAGTAAAACAAAACCAAGTAAGGTCAGAGATCAGTGTAAAACCCACGCTGTTGCTGAGTCACTTGATTTCTAGTAGGAAATCTTTTGGCTTGACTCATATTGCTTAACTTTAGAGTAAAACATGCATAAGTAAATGAGATGAGGTAATTCAGACATAGCTGTTGTTTTCCATAAACGGTTTCTGCATTGCCGATCACCGTGTTTTTGCAGTGTGCTGAAATCCTTGACTGAGATGTGAGTTTAGGTGCAAAAATCAATCTGGATGCATTTATATTCTGTGAGTATAACAGTGGAAAATAAGAACATTTTAGGCAATATTTTCATTCTTATTTAATGAGAATATCCGTTGAAAGAAATGGGGGGGGCATTTATATTTAGCACTTTATTCTTTGAGAAAAAAGCACCTAACAATAGAAAGATTTATATATCTGCCTGGTAGAATTAATATTTTATACATTCATTTCTCCTCTCCCTTCATGGCAGGTAATCAGTCTGACTGCAGCGAGAACAGAATAACCCATAAATACTGATAGAGTGAATCAACCTCCAGGACAGTAGACTAAATAGAACGAGCACCAACTGAACTTCCTCCTCACTGAAAAACAAAAACTGAGGCAGTCCTCCACACTCATTCCTTTCCTGAACCTTTGGCACTGGTCATTTAGCTTCGCTTTTAAAGTCTCTGTGACCATGTGTGTGTGAAATGCCGCCCACCTTGACAGGGCAGTTCATTTCAAAGTGGTGGTCCTGCCTTTGTTCACTGAGCCATTCCTATGCATTTAAAAGACCATAAAGTGTTCCAAGCAAGCTTCCTCCCTATAACAATGAGGAGCCTCACTGCTGGCCAGAGGAGTGGGAGGAGAGAGAAGACCGAGATGAGGGGAGAGGGGGAGGACTGGATAAGGGAGGGTAAACAAAGATTTTCAGTCTTGCTCTTTCTTTCTCTCCAACTGGTTGTGTTTTCTCACACTCAAACTCCTGCTATCTTTCTCCCATGGGAATGCATCTGGTTCCAGAGAATCCTCCCTTTCCTACGTACACAGACACACTGCTCTCTTTATCCCTTATCTTTTCCCTCTCTCTGTGAAACCGTTTTTTGTACAAATGTGCTGTTGAACTCTGCAAAGGTTCAGTGATGTTCTTTGCTGAAGTATTTCATTATACCAGAACAGACAGAATAGCAAACAACGTATCAGTAGTGTATGTAGAGTTTTTTTTGTTTTGTTTTTTATCATAAAAGATGGCCTACAACAGATAGCCTCAGTCTTTAGCAGTTTGGATAGAGGGTCCATGCTGTGGGATTCTTTTTGTCAATTTTTAGTCATAATCCTCAAAAATGAGAACATCTGTTTGTTTAATAAAAACAAAGTATTGATGGATCGAAATGTCAAATAGTTGACTGGTTTGAGATTCACAGATTTAATAATTTAATTTAATAAATGTGTGAAGTAAATACAAATTATGTACAATATGGTTCAAAATTTTGGGTAATAGTTGAAATGGTATTATTAAAAATTACTACTTTGTTTTATTATATTTTACTGTGATGGCAAAGCTCATTTTTCAGCAGCCTTTACTGTCACATGATCCTTTAGAAATCATTCTAATATGCTAATTTGGTGCTCAAAAATAATTTCTTACTATTGTCAATGTTGAAAATGTTTGTGCTGCTTAGCATTTTTGTTAATAATGATCATTTTTCTCCAGGATTTTTTTAAATTAATAAACCGTAAAGAAAAGAAGGTAAAACATTTTCTTTAACGGACATGGAGAGGTTTGCATCAGAAATTTGTCCTTAGCTCAGTATAAAAAAAAAAATAGAAATCAATGGAAAATATCCACCATGGTAAAAACGAAGTTTGTATGTTGCTGCGCGTGTGCACGAGTGTGAGCTGCACATACGCGTGTGTGTGTTTATGCCAGGCTTGTGTTTGGCGGGTGTGGGAGTGGAGGGAGGTCATTAGCCTAAGCTGTGTTCATTCACCGTCAACTCCATGCTGCTTAGATGAAGTGCCACGGTTCACCGAACATTTTGTTTTCAAAAGCAGCTCTGCAGAATCTACACTCAGCCGGCCCTGGGATCGATGGAGGGATGGATTTGGCTTTGCCCGCTTCCAGTCTCGTTGGGCTTCTGTTTGAGTGGGTTTTAATTGGCAAGCGATTCTTCTGTAACTGCAGGGCTCTACTGCCCTTTACTGTCATTTATATGAACTGTATGCAGAACTTAAAAGAAGAAAGTTGGAGTTGGGAAGGAAAAGAGAGAGAAAATGTCTGCTAACGACTTGATTTGGTCGCTCTGGGGGACTTCAGCTTTCAAATGAACACCTCCACTTCATTTGTCACCTTTATTTCAAGCTAGAGGCCCTGAGACAGAATACGTGACTTTAGAATGGATATTGGCCTTTGCGGAAGCTTAAGGCTGTAAAACGATAGTACAGACAAAGCCAAAGAGGAAAAACATACTGTGTTGCATTTGGTACAACAATGGAGAGAAGAGGAAGCTTTTGTTGCACTACATTCAGTTGTGCTCTAGGTTCCTAAATGTGCCTTTGTTAATTTAATTAATACCGTTATTGATCTGACTGAATGCAGTATTTTAAAGAGTGCAGGCCTCTGTGTGTGTGTGTGTGTGTGTGTGTGTGTGTATATTGTAATGCCGTGTGTTTGCTGTTGAACAGGTGTGAGGGTCTGACCTGTTCTCTTCTTTTGTTTTTCCTTGAGGGGAAAAAAGAAAAGATAAGGAACAAATGGTCTGGTTTATTGTCTGAATTTTTATTTGTGAGATGTTATTCTTTCCTGAAATGCATGTGTGAGTGTGTGGCGTAAATGTGAAGTTCTAGTCTTGCTTTCAAAAGTAGCATAATGAGAAATTGAAATTCCTAATCTGTTTTTGTTGTCTTATCTTTCCACAGAATTCTGTGTGTCCATTTGTCGATATTGTCTACTGGATTCCAACTGTGAAGAAACGCTATAGCCTTCCTGTGCAATTTTATGAAGAGACTTTCTCCCATAAGAGCTAGCCTAAATATTGTGTACAAAGTCCAGTCGCAAAGCTTTTTTTTCTGCCGCAAGTTTGCCCATTTTTTTAACTTCCTACTTGGAAGTTTTAAGTACATTGTGATGTCTCATTCTTCATTTTGTGGAGTATCAGAACTTGGGCTTCACCGTGAAAACCAAAAGAACTGCGACGCACCCTGAACTCCAGTCTGCTTTCATCGTAACCAGCATAATCATCATCTTCGTCCCCCACGTTTGTGTACTCTGACCGTTTTTGTACAATGCTGATGCCATGCAAGCTAAAATAGACCCGTATGCCTGTCTTAATTTGTATAATGCATGAAGGATGTGGAAGCTTTTGATTGGGAGAACAACAAGAGTCTCAACGCATGATTGGAGATGTTAAGATACTCCAGGAAAAGTACCTCATGTCCTGATATGCATCTACCTTTTCTCCCATGTTGATGTTAAAAATTAGATCTTGCTCAGAAGAAAGGCTGATGCGGACTCTTAATGGACTGATAAACATAAAAAAAGGACAGAAGGAAACGTGAGCAAGCATTTTATTTTATTTTTTAAGTATTTGTCCTTCACACGTCTGTACAAGGAGGACAGGCTGATGCTGAACTGTTCCTGTTGAACAGACCTTAGCAGCTTGTTGTGAAAATGGACACGGGCACAGTGTGTCCCAAGGTACACGTGCCAGCTGTGCGATTGCGACTAAGTGAGTGCGGGAGAGGCATGTCCCAGCATGTTCGTCTGAACGAGAGTCCGTCTGACCCCACTCAACACCCAATCATACTCCCACCCCCTCAAAAATAAACAGCGTGAGCATGCCCTCCGAGAAAGCACCAACAACAAACGCTGTCCTTCCAGCTTCTGTTGACTGACCGACTACAGTTTTACATTTCTCCCGCACAAGATTTCAACTGTGCGAGACGCTTCTGTTTTGCCGTTTTTGCCTGTACTATTCTAAGCACATACAGTCACGTGAACGACAGAAGGGGAGAGAAAAGAGGTGAGAGTCGTTTCGTCACCCTGCGAGGGAATGCAGTCTCTATGGCAAAACAACAAAACTGTAAATTAAAAAAAAAAAGAACAAGAAAAAAGTGCAAGAAACTGGTTGTCTGGCTTCACATATTTCAGTGTCTATTACTAGTCTTAATTTATGATTTTTTTAAAGCTGTTTGTTTTGTTTGATCCATTGTGTATTAACGATATATATTTTTTTTTATTTATTGTTAATTTTTCTGCTTGCATATATGTTTGGATGTGTAGAAGTTGACAGGTTGTTGTACCGCGCATGGCCCAAAACGCTCTGTGTTCCTGCTGCTCTTTTGCACATTTACATAAGGTCATTTTGACTGAGCAGGTGGAATTTGTAGTGGTCAGCGAACTCTTGAGCCTCTTGTTCATCTGATCAAAAACATGGAGGCTCGAAGGTCAAAGGTCATTGACAGGATAAGAATGGGCCGAATTACGTCAGAGGTTCGGGTTACCCAGGGTGGGCAGGTCAGCAGATGGGGGAGTTGGGAAGTGGTTTTGAGAGTTTAGGGGATGGCTTTCTTCAAAACGGAGGGCCAATTCACCCAAAAATGAAGATTGTCATCTTGTACTCACTCTCAAAATTGTCATTTTTGGGTGAACTATCCCTTTAAATTTTACCCAAATGAATCAGGTTCTTTAGATTAAGTAATTGCGATGTGCTGATGTGCTTTAACCACTGGTCAATTCATCTAGTTGTGATGGTTCTCTGACCTGCATCAACTATTTGTGATCTTATACAATATAGATTGACCTCAAACCTCCATCTAAAAAGCATTACGTTTCGCTTCTAGAACATTAGTGTAGTTTAGCAAGTGCTTTCGACCAGTGACCCCATGCCAAACTGGGGCCAGTATTCAGCCTCTGTAACTCTGCTCTGCATCCATCACTCTGTCAGTACTGAAACTCAGACTGACACAGGGTATCTTTGGGTTGTAAGGGTCCTGTAGAACTATCTGAGGAAGGTGACGCCCGCAGCTGCTCTCAGAACAGCTGGAGCTGTCACCAGCATGTTGTAACTTTGACTGTCCCTTACAGTTCAGCAGTGCTGTTAACACGATTGGATTAGGAATATGTCACAGTCACCTTGCTGGATGCACTCTTAAAAACACGGGTTCCAAAAAGGATTTTTCGCAGTGGTGCCTAAACTCGGTCCTGGAGGGCCACTGTCCTGCAGAGTTTAGCTCCTCCAACTCTAATTAAACACACCTGAACCAGCTAACCAAGCTCTTACTAGGCATGCTATTAACCTCCAGGCAGGTGTGTTGAGACAAGTTGGAGCTAAACTCAGCAGGACACAGGCCCTCCAGGACCGAGTTTGGACACCCCTGCCGTAGACAAACCATTTTGGGTTCTTTAAGGAACTTTTCGATTGATCGATTCTTCCAAGAATCTTTTTTTTTTCTTACACTGTGTTTACACGACACGAATGATGCTTTACAACAAAAGCAAATAGAGCCCATTATAAACAGCAAAGCTGTCTACACTGGTTGCGACATGACAGACTATAAACGTATGCCCCTTTATGTTTCTGACGCACTCCACGTGCTTGTGCTACTTCCGACAACAGTACAAATGGATTCAGAACTTTTGTTTCGCATTCATTGTAGACGGCGAATTATGTAGACGCAGTGTTAGTATGAAGAACATTTTAATAATCTAAAGAATAAAGAACCTCGATACAAAACCTTTATTTTTAAGAGTGGATGTTAGTTGCTACAGCCTGTGACATAAAAAGTGACGATTTCATTTGGCAAATTTAATGATGATGAACAAAATGGTGTTTATTATGATAAAGCTGAATCCCAAAGGTCTTGGAATAACTAACAGTGATGTCTACATAAGGGCAAAGACCATAGTGCTTTCATGTCAATGCCAAATGTACTTCTTGTAGAGATGATCTGTCTGTTTGAATATTCACTGCAGAGCGACAACAGTGTCCGGGTAGGTTGAATAACACCACTAGCAGTTTTCTACACTATAGCTGTTGTGACAACACTGTTCTACATGCTACAAACAAATTATATAGCTTTAAATTAATAGAATATAGTATTCCATGTTGTTCAATTGCACAGCGACTGCAAAGTTGAAGGAAAGCCCTAAGAGAGGAAAACCGGTAGCAAGCGTTCCTCCCGCAAACCCTCTCATCCCCTCCAGGAAATTCTTGCTTACAATGTTCCGATTAGCCTTTAGGGTCTTACACCCCCTCCATCTTTCACCCCCTCCTTCCCCCTTCCAGAATACCTTTTCACAGAACACTGCACACTCTGACCTCCAGCCAATCAAAAAACCCCGTTCTGCCCCCCTCACATAGCACAGTTGCCACAGCAATGGTCAACAATCATTGCCCCCTCTCCATTTGAATTAGTAATAGTCAAGTGTTTTTGTTTTTCCCTCCTCTCTCCCTCTTACTCCTTTGCCCTCCCTTCTTCCCGCTCTTCTCCTGCTGAAGTGAAAGATTGATTCAGAGGTGACTCATAAGCCAGTGTGCATTTAGAACTCTTAAACGCTGTATGCCTTCACAAACAGACGCATTGCTAAAGCACTGTCAATGTTGGCCTGTACTGTTGTTTTTGTGGGTGTCATTTTTCTTTTTCATTTCTATATTTGACGTATTATATAATTGTATTGTTATTTTATCTCAACCACTGCGGTTAACATTATTTTGTACAAGTGATTTTTTCACAATGTGAAATTCATGGCTAAATAAAGATAAGAGTTTTTCCTCTTAATAGATACAGTATAAAAGCTTCTTGCATTATTCAGGTTTTCCTGATTTGTCAAAAATAACTTCAGTACATGCTTTTATGATCCTGAACTAAGTTTTTTTCTCTTTTATGTAAAGAAATGAAGCCTTTAATTCAAGCATGGCTTATTTGGAGCTCATGAAAACATTTCTCCCATATCTAGCCAGCTTTGTATGGCAGGCAGCACTTGTCTGTACAATGTATTAAATGAGTGTGTTTATTAAGGGCCCCTATAAATGTACAGAAAAGGCTGAGATCATCTCGTCGTGTCTTCCTGTGTGTGTGTGTGTGTCTGCAAGACAGGAAGTAACAGCCATACGTGACCCATAAGATACTTTCCGTTTTATTCCAGTGTTGCCGTGGCAACCCTGATCATTATCCGCAAACTCTGGCAGCTGATGTGAAACATGAAAATTTAAAAAGACCTCCTCCGCCACAGGCCTCCTTTTCTTGTCCTCTTTCCATTTTTCATGGAAGTTCCTCCAACGTTCTTTATCGTCCTCTTACCTTGTTCCTGTAATTCCTTAATGGATATCAAATAACCATGCATGGTCTATTTTTAACCATTCCAAAGATTCTGCATCCTGCCCTCAATAACCAGTGTTGGGGGTAACGCATTACAAGTAACGCGAGTTACGTAATCAGATTACTTTTTTCAAGTAACTAGTAAAGTAACGCATTCACAAAAAAAAAATCTGATTTAGTTTTCCTCAAAATGAATAAAAACAGTTAAAAGCAACTCAGAATATGACTCAAAGCTGCAATAATTAAATATGTTAAATAATACAAATATCCTTTATGTATTTAATCCCATTTTATTAACCAATTTGCTGCTGACCTTCGGTGATCCAATTTCTTCTTTTTTTATTGCTGAAGAGGGTTGAACTTTCTTCTGTGTATACTGTACAGACGTGAATTTACATTTCCTTCAGCCTGAGGCTTTTGGTGTGAAAGAGCTTTTACATTTGCCAAAAATAACTTTTTATATTAAAAGCAAACAAGTAAGCCCAGCCCAGATTTAAAAAGTAACTCCAACACTGTCAATAACTACCAGGTATACCATGAGTAAACAGACACACAATGTTACAAACCTGCTCGTCCTGAGGACAGGAGTGTTTACATTCCTGTGATAAAACGACTCGCTTTCAGTAGGTTAAAGAAAGACCAGTTTTACAGGCTCTTGACACATACCCAAGCACACTATGGCAAGATGATAAGGATGTGCTTAATCACACTCTGAGAAAGCCGTAAAGTTCACACTTCTCACAGGCTCATATAACCCAAGTGATTACAATATATCTCCATGATAATAACATGTCGACTTAGGATAATAAATATTAATGTTAATATTGGAGATATTAAATGGATTGTGTAATGGCATGGTCATTTCCTCCAATAAAAACTAATTACTCATAAGTACCACTCTGCATACATATATACATGCAATAAGCACAGTCATGTGATATCGTGACCCCTCAAGTTCCTGTTGCCAGGCAACATGTCTGTCAGTTCCAGAGAGCTGGCACATACGCTGTGTTTTATGCCATGGTAAGAGCCTCCTTGAGAAGTCACGTGGTCTCTTGGCCAATAATAGGTTGCTCTGAGTGAAATCTGATTCAATCATCAATCAGGTGTAGAGCGCCTTGCTATTCAGCCAATTGCTATAATAAAAGTAGCAGACTAATTGCAAAACAAGTGTCTTTTCAAAACAAGTCTTTCTCTGATGGCATTCTCTAACTAACAACACTCATGGCCAGTCTTAAACCCTTATTATTCAGTGTGGTTTCTTAATGGGATAGTTCACCCAAAAATTAAAATTCTGTCATTCTTTATGACTCAACCTCATATCGTTTCAAACCTGTAAAACCTCTGGTCTTCTTTGGAACACAAATTAAGATATTTGAAATCCGAGAGCTCTCTGACCCTGCATAGATAGCAACGCAACTGAAACGTTCAAGGCCCAGAAAGGTAGTAAGGACATCGTTAAAATAGTCCATGTGACATTAGTGGTTCAACAATAATTTTACGAAGCTATGAGAATACTTTTTGTGCGCAAAGAAAATAAAAATAATGACTTTATCCAACAATTATTTTCCTCCATGTCACCGTCCGCCACCATTCATGAGGGTACCATGCATCAGAAAACTCTCAGATTTCATCAAAAATATCTTAATTTGTATTCCGAAGATTAACAAAGGTCTTACAGCTTTGGAACAACATGAGGGTGAGTAATTAATGACAGAATTTTAATTTTTGGGTGAATTATCCCTTTAAGTTTTGTTAGCTGAATAATGAATGACCCATTACAGAAAGGCTTCATACTTTATAAACAAAGCAAACCATACAGTATATATTTACATACTTTTTCATAACTTGAATAATTTGTTATTGCTTTACAAGACCTTTGTTGACCAAATT